CCAGCCGAGAGGCCCCGCTCAGGGCGAAGGCGACCCCGCCCAGGCGGCTCAGCCGCGCTCCCGACTGCGGCTCCGGTAGTGAGCAGGAGACGTAGACCTCGGTTTGCGCACCGGGGAGCACTCCGTTGCCTGCCCAGTCAGCGAGCCGAGGGAGGGAAAGGGCTCGGCAGAGGCTGGGTACTCAGTAAGGACCCAGAGGTCAGGACCCCCAGCGCCTGGGTCAGGGGAGCACGACGGATAGATCAGGGGCTGCTGGATAGGCCGCGACGACAGGACAGGGGAGAAGAGGGCAGGGGAGGGCAGGGAAGCGGAGCCGAGGACCCCAGCACCGGGCCTGCCCGCTCGGCTTTCCTGACGGGTTTCCACGGTGTTCTCTCGCAGGTCCGGAAGGGGAAGGAGGCCAGAGGTTCTGCCCACCTGAGGGTCTGGGGCTCTGCGGGGCCTGCTGGCTGCCCTCGGGGAGAGCGGAGAAGCCAGTGTAAGGGTAAAGGGCCCTGGACAGGCCGGTGCTGTGCCGAGAAGCTGCGGAGGGCGACAGACGATTGCACCCTGGGTCCCTGCGAGAAAGGAGGAGCTGGGGGTTCTCATAAACCGAGTCCCGCCCTTTCCCAGCTTCCGGGAGGTCTAGGGCTAAACCTAAAAGGACTGCACAGTGCACGGAAAAAAGAAGGGATGGTACAGAAACAAGCATCCTGGAAACCGCATCCTCGATGGAGTGCCGGGTGGGAGACAGGGGCCCCGAACGGGAAGGCGACTGAGAATGGGCCTGCCCTGGCCTCGCAGGAAGGGCACCGGCAACCACCCCTCACTCCGAAAGGGCGGGCAGTCCTCTTCCTCTGCCCACGGGGGCCTAATTCAAAGGAAGTCGTCCTTCAGGGAGCCCTGGTGCTCTCCCGCACAGTGGGAATAGCGACTCCGGTCCGGCGTGGCATGAGGGCAGAGAGGGAAGACTCCAAGACCAGATTCCCAAAGTGGGAAGGTCTCAGCCAAGAGATTGAAATACTCAAGGCCAGGGTAGACAAC